GGCGCGGGCGCGCGCCGCCCCCGCCTGCCCCCCGCCGGCCGCCGCCGCCGCCCGGTCGCGCACTCGGAGCGCCGCCAGCAGCGCGGACATGTTGGAGCCGCCGTGCCCCCGCCCGCGTCACAGTGCTCGGGAGAACTGGGCGGGGCCAGACTCGCCCCGCCCGCCCCATCCCACCGACCATTGGCCGCCGGCCCCGTCGGCACAGCCCTTCCTCGCTGTCATTAGTAGATGCGTTCGCCGCTCACACCTAGGCCCAGCCCAAAAGCTTTTCTCTGATTGGGTCTTCCCCGCCTGCTTTCGTTACTATTGGCTGTGGCTCTCGTCAATCAAGACGACGGAGCACGGACTCCGTCTTCCTCCGCACTTTTTTTTTTTCCGGCCTCGAAGCCTCGGGCAGGACTGACGGAAGCGGCTGTCAGCGAGCACCTTCGCCCCTCCCAGCCTCCCTCCCGCCGCCACATCCCCTCCCTCCCGGCTGCGCGGTTTGCCTGCAGGCCATTGGCTCCCAGCGCCGCCACTCCCGCAGCCTCTCTCGCCCCGGCCGCTGCTTCGACAAGGGGGCGTGCACCGACCCGCGGGTGCCTTCTTCTGATTGGCCGTCACCCCTGCCAATCAAGCGTGACCGGCGGGGCAGCAGAGCGTGGCCCAGCCCGCGCGCCGAGTCGCTCCGCACGGCGATTGGTCGCGGGGCAGGCGAGAGGCGCGCGACCTCCCCCATGCCCCACGGGGGGCAGTGGGGAGTACCCGTATGTGCGCGCGATTACATCACCGCAAGCCAATCAGAGCGCGCGGGAGCAGGTGTCCCGCCCGCGAGGGGTGGGGCTTGCCGCCCCCGGCGGGAGCTGCTTCGTCTCGCTCGGCTCGGGAGGCGGGAGCTGGGGTTACCGTCGCCGCCGGTCAGGGCTGCTGGCGCTGCCGGGGGTCCCGGTGCTCCCGGTGCTACCGCACCGAAGAGTGAGGCTGGAGGTGGCTCGGTCCTCTACATTCCCGGGGCCGCGACCCCGTTCGGGTGCCCGAGTGAGGCGTCTCGGGGTCGCCCTTGGTACTCCATCGAGCCCTGCTGACACCGGGGCCGCCTGAAGAGTATAATCACTGAATCACAGAATCGATTAGGTTGAAAAAGACTCCTGAGTTCATCGAATCCAACCCGTGACCGAACACCACCGTGTAACTAGACCACGGTACCGAGTCCCACATCCTGGCTTTCCTTAAACATCTCCAGGGATAGTGACTCCACTACCTCCCTGGGCAGCCCATTCCAATGTCTAATCTCCCTTTCTGTGAAGAAATTATTCCTGATTCCCAGCCTAAACCTCCCCTGACAAAGCTTGGGGCTATTTCCTCTCGTTCCGTCACTACTTGCTTGGGAGAAGAGGCCGACCCCCACAGTTTCCTTTCGGTGCTTGTAGAAGGCGATAAGGTCACCCCTAAATCTCTTAGCCCTGAGTCACGGCAGGTGGGAAGTGCAGGAATGGGCAGCTGCTCCCGCCGCCGGCCGCTCCGGCTGCAGCGACAGCCTCGCCGCGGGAGGCCGTAATGAACACCATGCGTGGGCTCGCCTGCCCTTCGGCTTCTTTCTTGCCCCAAACCAAAACTGTTTATTCAGGAAAGAACATGAAAATCTGTCTGATCCCTCGTAATCCCGTGCTATTCCCACCTTTCTCAGTCAACGGCTGTCTGAAGCCAGCTGCAGGTCACCTCGCTGGAGAGGGACCCACTCCTCACCTTACAGCTCTGTATGGCGGCTCAACTGCTGCAGTCGTACACTATAGGCTTTCCTGGAAAGCTGGTAGGGGTACCCTTGCCTTACACTCCCGAGAAATGGCATACTAATTCCCACAGCACAGTTCGCTGATGCCCTTGTCCTTTTCTTCAGGCTGAGGTGTTTCCTCCCCACACACTGATACATCGGCGTGAATGAACACACATCACCGGCAGGGCTTGAGACCACGACTCAAAACACTGTACAGCATTTTTATTTATTCATCTATTAATTTCTTGGAGTGTTTACAAAAGGAACTGACCCTGAAAAACACGGGACTTTTTTTTTTCTGGAGTTGAAATTCTCTTTCGGTCTTCCACATAGACACATGATGGGGTTATTTTTCCAGGGCCTCCGGAGTTACGTCCATAGTGTAGAATATGCTATGCAGCTTTTACCTCCCAGTTTATCGACACCACCACTCACGTTAGAAAATCGTTGCACAGAGCTCTGAGGGTGCTTTCTTGCTCAGGTGACTGATGCAACCGTGGCTCTAAGAGCCGAAGCTTTCCTTTCTGTGGGTCCAAATGCATCTACTGCACACCGCAAAGATGGGATAGTTCACCCCTGTGTGCCAGTACTGCTTCCCACAGCTCCCTACCAGTTGATAGAGCTGAATGAGAATGAAACCTAGATTACCTCAGCACAGACACTCGTGAGCCAGTTCAGAAAAAGCCAGAATGCTGAGACTGCGGTTACCCTTCTGTCATAGAAAACTTACTCACAGGCAAGCTAATTTGAGTGCCCAGGCCCAGCTGCCAATCAACCTAGTTAACTGTGCACTGTCCTTATGATCTGGGACTCAAGACATAGCTAGGATCTTTTTCCTTTCCTTTCCTTTCCTTTCCTTTCCTTTCCTTTCCTTTCCTTTCCTTTCCTTTCCTTTTCTTTCCTTTCCTTTCCTTTCCTTTCCTTT